TCGTGGTTTCTCGGTACGAAAACTGAAAATCGAATTATTTTTTATGAACAGGTACGCAAACACTATGTAACAAAACACGATGCAACTATGTAAACACAACACTATGTAACACAACAATTTTTGTATAATTGATTCTCTTTTCCACCGTGAATTCAAAAAACACTGCATTCAAGTTTAAATAAATAAAGCTTTGGGAAGTTTGTTTTAATAATAGTATCTAATTAGTGAACTATATTTTTTTGAACGACAGCTAATTATAATGATAATTTGCCTTGCTTTTGAAATGACACCAATAAACGTTCTAAGTATATGCAGCTGGAAAATCACTCGTAATTAACCTTGAACTAGAAAACTTTATTAGAGTAATTATTGGGGAGAATGATTAAAAGTCACAAAAAAGTTTTCAAACTCCCTGCAAAATGTGGAAAAGAGAACAAAATAAATAGGATTAGATGTCCAATTGATACCGACAGACGTTCTAGTGTTAAGGGTAATCGATACCCCGGAAGTTCTAGTGTTACACATAATAAAAGTAATATATTTTTTTAATCACTCGTCACCATTCTCTTCACGAATTTGTCATTTTACGATAGTAAATTTATTTCTGAATCTTAAGAGCTTAAATAATATATATTGTTTGCTCATAGCGTTATTTTGAATTACATTTAAAGCAAAGTTGAATACAAGAGCTACTTTCAAAATTAATTTCATGTATGTTTCACGGAAACTTTATCCATATCTATACAAGCATTGAAAGGGATTTTAACACGTACTTTCACTGAAATCGATATTATTTCTTTCGGTTTGTCTAAGTTTGTTGACTTGGTAACACAGCCAAACGTTTTGTTTCGCCGTCAAACATATTGAGTAATCAAATTTGACAAAAGAAAAAAATATATATATTAAAGACAACCATTACTGTCATTTTCCTGAACCTTTTATCGTTGAACAATGAACACTATTGATGGTAAAAAATGCGTTAATTACTAAGAGACTCGAGAACAGTGTATGTTGTGAAATGAATTGAATTACATTGGTTTTTTTTTCCAAATACATAGTAAAAATAAGTTTAGTGATCATAAACTACATAAATAAAACCTATTTGTAAACAAAGTATTGAACCGAAACGTGTTACATAAAACAGACACGTTTGAGTTAAATTATAATTTGCATCTGAGTATTTCTCGTTTTTTTAAAAGTGAGAGAAAGAGTTTCCTCATTCATCTATATTTTATTTTATTTATTTATGTATGACTGAAATTAAAATGACCAAAATTACAGCGGAAAAGACATTGAAAATTTTATTTGATCAGAAAGTATGCATGTATTCTTAGATAAAATAGTACTAAAGATTGATTTTGATTATACAGAAGTTACCATTAGCGCAGATTATCAGAATTTATAGGTAATGAAGTTTTTGTCGTTTAAGAATTTAATATTTTCTGTTAGTTCTAAATTTTTAATCTATATATATATAAAGGACAACAGTGACTCACTAACTCACAGACTAATCACGATATCTCCGGAACTATTAAACCTACAAACTTGAAATTTGGTAGGTAGGTTCCTTTCCTGTGGAGTATACATAAGTTAAGAATAAATTTCGCAAAGATCGAACCCCAAGAGGCATTATAGATATTTATTTCCATTTCTAAACTATTAGACGCACAGTCTTGAAATTTGGTATATATATATATATCTATATAAGTGGATTCCTTTTATAGAGTAGGGATTCGCTACAAAATGGGTTTTGTGAAAATCAATCTCCAAGTGGCGCTGTAGAGAATTAAGGGGCGTTAAAGGTAATTATCTCCTCTTTTAAACAATTAGACGAAAAATCTTGAAATTGAGTAAGAAGATTCCATTTATTTAGTAGAGATCCGCTATAAGATAGGTTTTGTGAAAATCACTTCCTAAGTGGTGTTGCGAGGGCTTAAGGGGCGTTATAGATAATTGTTTCCAGTTTTAAACTTGTGACGAATCTGTACGAAGCCTTTCCACTAATATTCTTAGGCGTCTTTTTGGGGATTATAAATTCGCGTATATTTCCAATCACCTCCGAGAAGCGAACGGGATATGCAAAGTAGATAGGGTATTTAAGTAGAGCGTTGTAAGCGAGCAAGGATGAAGGCTATTGAGCCAGCAGCAGTAGCCTCAACTTTAGAGGATTCAATTGGATTGCGATACTGAAGAGTTACTGCTAATAATCTACGAAGGAATCTTTTGATGATACCAGCGTATTGACAGGTGATATAATATAGTTTATTATCGTTTAAAACAATCGCTAGTTTAATAAAATTAGTTTAAGTTAATTAAAGCTAATAATCCGAGTTACGTGTATTTCTCGGACCTCCTATTTCGGTAGACCTTATTTGATCTTACGCGTAGTTGTTGATTAATTTCATATTTAATATAATTTAATATTAAAAATTAATCCCTTTTGTTTGACGTAACATAGAAATAGTATATGTTATTAGAGTTTCGAATATTTGAATCAAGTGAATAAATAAAGGTTATTATTATACAAATGGCTTTTAGTGATTCTTTGCCTCAAATTAATCTTGGTGTCCAGGGTGGAACCCAGGGGGTTTCCACAAACTATTATACATACAGTCTTGAAATTTATAAGAGGATTTATTTCATAAAGTAGAGATCCGCTACAAAATGGGTTTTGGAAAAATCAAACCTCAAGTGGCGCTTTGGAGAATTAAGGGGTATTATAGTTAATTATCTTCTTTTTTAAACAATTAGACGAAAAATCTTGAAATTGAGTAAGAAGATTTCATTTATTGAGAAGAGATCGGCTATAAGTAGAATTTTGTGAAAATTGCTTCCTAAATAGCGTTGAGAGGGTTTAAGGGGCGTTATAGATAATTATTTCTATTTTTAAATTATTAGACCAACAGTCTTGAAATTTGATAATCAGCTTCCTTTCATGGTGTAGAGATTTGCTACAAAATAGTTTTGGGAAAACTGACCTCCAAGTGGCTCTGAGGGGGAATAGATAAATATTTTTGTTTTTCGACTATTATGTCCACCTGCTTGAAAATTAGAAGGCATGTTCATTTCATGGTATAGTTCCTTTTCCAAAGGAGGGGGATTTCGTGGGGTTAAAGAGAGTTATAGAAAACTTACTGTTTTTGAATTTAACCCATTTACTTGAAATTCGTTGAGCACGTTTCTTTAGTTGAATAGAGTTCCACTAAGAATGAATTTTACGGAAATCAACTCCAGGGAGAAACGGGGAAAGCCATTGGGGCGTATTGATAGACAAGATTCCCGTTTTAGATCTACAAAGAAAATAATAATAAAATTTGGATTGCATGTTTCTTCTGTTGAATGGGAATCCGCTAAGAATGCTCTCAAAGGGATTACGGGGCGCATTAATGATAAAAATTTAGTTTTTAATCTGTTAGATTTAGACTTGAAATTTAGCAAGCATGTTTATTTTATGGAGTAGAGAACCACTGAAAGTTACTTTGGCAGAAATCTACTTGATTATTGGGTTAAGTGAGTGCAAAAAATCTTTCCGCTTCTATGTTAGATTATAATAAAAATTAGAAATTATCACATTTCTCTCCTTTTCATATAAAGAGGTGAGGGTTACAGTTATAAATGTATTTTTCAATACAATCGAATTCTTAATGCTAGATATTAATAATTTATGCATATGTAAACAGTATACATTTATAAAGGGTGTTTCTTTTAGAGGTATAGAACTTTAAATTGCAATAAAACAACGATGTATTATTCTATTGACATGAATTTTTTTTATTCGAAAGATAATCTTGTGGCATTACATTTTATATATGATTTCTGGCATATGACTGCCACGGCTGGGTCGGATGTAGTCCAATCTGGACGTCCAATTTTCGATGAATTTTCCAACATTTGTGACCGTATATCGGCAATAACACGGCGAATGTTGTCTTCCAAATGGTCAAGCGTTTGTGGCTTATCCATATAGACCAATGACTTTACATAGCCCCATAGAAAATAGTCTATCGGTGTTAAATCACAAGATCTTGGAGGCCAATTCACAGGTCCAAAACGTGAAATTAGGCGGTCACCAAACGTGTCTTTCAATAAATCGATTGTGGCACGAGCTGTATGACATGTTGTGTCGTCTTGTTGGAACCACAGCTCCTGGATATCATGATTGTTCAATTCAGGAATGAAAAAGTTAGTAATCATGGCTCTATAGCGATCACCATTGACTGTAACGTAGTGGCCTTCATCGTTTTTGAAGAAGTACGGACCAGTGATTCCCCCAGCCCATAAAGCGCACCAAACAGTCAGTTTTTCTGGATGTAACGGTGTTTCGACCAACACTTGTGCATTAGCTTCACTCCAAATGCGGCAGTTTTGTTTGTTGACGTAGCCATTCAACCAGAAGTGCGCTTCATCGCTAAACAAAATTCGCTTATGAAAATCGGGAACAACGGCAATCTCGTTTTGGGACCATTCGACGAATCTACGCCTTGCTTGATGATCGTTTTGATGAATTGCCAAACCAAACCGAGAATAAATCACTTGGCAGCTGTTAAATCGGTCGCCATCTTGGAAAGTAATGCCAACTTAAACTTCTGTACCTGGAAAAACAACACTCTTTACAACATCGTGAAATACCCAGTGAAGTGGATGTGTAACAGCTAGTATATGAAAATATATGAAAAGAGAGGTTTGGAAGAGTTTAATTTTATACTTTTGAAAAATCTTATTTTTGATTATATCAATTACAGTTATACGCTAATTACTGTAACTTAAATTAGCCAAGATGAATGGGAAAATTACTGATAACAAAGATCCCGGTCTCACGATTTATATGAAACTAAAAGCATAGATGCAATACATTTCTTAAAACTTGTAGTGGATGGAATTTGATGATAATGCAGTTTTTACAAACATTAATTAATTAATGTTTTAATTGATTAATAAATACTAACAAGAAAAATAATAGTCCAAGAGCATATATAAAAATGAAAATTGTTCGTTTTGTTATTGTGGCACAATAGATAGCGTGTTGGACTTCTAATCCAAAGGTCGTGGGTTCGAATCCCGTCTGGGATGGCCTTATTTCTGAGAAAGGGATTTCTTTTTACTATTCAATTTTATTGGAATAATTTAATTTAATTAATTTATAAATAGTAACAAAACAAAAGTTATAGTCCAACATCATATATAGAAAGAAAAAGTAGGGTAGCTCCTAAGTAAGAATTTTTGCTTCAGGTTAAAAATAATATTTTATTGAACGCTCATATTTTTTGGCAAATATTGACATAAAAATGTATGATTTATTTACTTATAAGAATTGTTAGGGAATTTTTTTTGGGCGAACAGTAAAAAGATAGAACTTTAAAGTTTTTTTTATCATTTATCCATGTGTATTTTAAGAGTATGTATAAAAATGTTTCGCCAGTAATATATCCAATAGAACGTGAGTTATAGCGCTCTGAATACACCCGCCTCGAAAAAATGGACGCTCACTTCCTTCACAATTCCGGCTGATTGGCTTATCTGAAATAAAACAAATTATCTGCGGTTTACTTTATAAACCTAAATGCCCAGAATGAACTATACTGAATTGAAAATATGAAACACTGGATTTCTGGTAGACGTATGAAGAAACAGTTTCGAATCTCATGGTGTTTTTTGTTACGTTTTCGTAGTAAAAAATAGAAATATTGGGAATTTTGGAATTGTCGTAGTCCATTTGGTGCGTATATATGTGCTGAGTTTACCCTATAAATTTGAGATATGATGCAGGAAAGTTGTAAAAATACAGTTCTGAGAAAACCGCGTAGTTTCAAGTCCGATTAATACAATGGAAATCTAAACTTACCCTCAATATATGCATTGCTTAAAATAAGTTCAACGATATATTTAATATTTATTGATATTTCCTTTTAAACCTCTACAAACTTGTCTATAATTGTATGGACGTATATTTGCAAAGAAAGGTCTCAGGTATCAAGCTGACTGTACACAATAGACCCAGCTTTCGATTGCCAACTCAGTGCTTTGAACAGCTGCTCTTCTAACTCTTGTTTCTTTATAAGGAAAAAAATCAATTTATCACCGTATTCTAGACATGTTATGGAAGCAATTTATGAAAAAAAAATTTGTTTTCATTTTTTGAACCCATCACATGGGTGAACCCCTTTAAAATTCTTTCATGGCACACACATGCATCTAATTATTTATTTTGTTTTCCGAATTTATTAATTGACCATCAAATAATCGATAAAGCAAACGAAAGTGATTTGAATATCCCAAAACTAAAACAAAGGGTTTCATTCATTACTCAACAAGTCTTACAATGCGTCATATAATTATGTACAATTCCTTTCACTTTCTCTTTTTCGGAGAAATGATGGAATAAAAAAACAACCTCAACAACAACAACAAAAAAATCCTATTCTGTAATTGTAATTTTATTTTCCCCAAACAAGTAACAAAAATTTTCGCCTCAAGATCTCAGCACTCTCATATCTCAAATTAATTTTAATTACTTTAAAACATCTAGGATCTGGACACATATTCCTGCAAGAGGAGGGAAAAAACAGATTCGAAAATGAAGGTGGAAACGAAACCACCCTCATTATCGCTCTTAACAGGATCCAAATTAGTGTTCGGATCACGTAATGGTAGGGAGGGAGTTGCGCTCTCAACAAACACACGTGACATGCTTGAGAGTTGTAATCACTGACTTGTCTGTTAGGAATTGAGTTAGGCTATAGACAGTGATTCCTACTTGTTAACCCAGGAGCACTTGGATTTGGAGAGAGATCATTGTAATTGGGATATAGAGCGATGTGTCAGCTCTGGAAAGGATTTTGGGAGTGGTGTCAGATGGGATGGTGGAAATTAATTTGGTCCTGTTCTTAAAAAGTTTTTCTTAGTTGGGTGTTTTTGGTATTAAAGGTGTGATGAAATCTGCTAATGATAAGGAAACAAGACCAGATTCAGAAAATAAATTTGATTACTTTAAATATTATGACACGTTTCTTTACGCTTCATTAGAGAGTAAGCGACTGCTTATTAACACTTTCAAGCACTGAACTTTTGACCAAAAAAAAATGCACTAGAGGGAAATAATTACAAAAATTTTAGTTAGACCTCATAAAACTATAATTATTGAACAAAAGTTGGTATATATAAATAATATTAAACACTTTTTCAAATAAAGGGTGTCAAAATTAAAAAAAAATAGGTTTTACATATTTTGTATCACCACGCGTCAAGCAGCATGATAGTTCTGGAAACACATAATTTATTCCTCCTAGGCACTACGGTAGCTTTAGCTAGTTATTTTGAAGTTGAACTATAAATAAAACATTTCATCTTATACGGTTATTCATTCTAAATATTAAAACATTTTCAGTGTTTCCGAATCTATAGTTGTAAGCTTAGTTTTAGTTTAGTCCTAATTTACTTAATGTTAGTTTTAATTTCAAATATTTTATTCTATACCTTATTTTACTTTACTTAGTTCTTAATTAGTTAACATAACTCGTATACAATAAGTGTATTAATTGTATTTTTTTTTTCTAAACATGAACTACATATGGCACAAATGCACAAATCCACCACACCGCATTAGGTCCGCAAAGTCAGCTTTTTAGTAGTCCAGCTAGGAAGAATATGTGCAATCCACACACAGGATATAAATTTTAATACACACATAGACCAATATTTACACGACTACAATTTAAAATTATTTATGACCAATCAAGGAAGTTTTGCGCATGCAATCTGATTTGCATCTAATACCAAATAGTTAAACTGAAATGTGAGATTATGAATCATTTGGATTGGCATGGCATTAGTGGGAGTTATGAGCAAAATATAGGAGTGGTAATTGTTGTATTAAATATGAGAAATCATTCAAAAAATGTGAATTGAATTATTGATAGAATGCTCTTTGGTGAGTTTTTAATGATTTTCGCTATTCATTTGTGAATATACTGGGTTTTTAATTTGAACTTTCAGATTTTAGATATTTTTTCTACCTATATACAACTATTTTAAAGATGGGTGCATCATCTTTGGTGTTCGATGGTTTCCTTATATTATGCACTAAGTTGTTTTAGAATTTTAATATTGTAATGTTATATTATCTTTTAGAATGCGATGGCGAATAGTTTAATTTTTTAAGTTTAATGGATTATTTTTAACTTTTTAATTTTTTAATTTTTGAGAATTGGAAAGTTTCCGATTAACGTACCAAGTTGCAATAGGAGGATGGTTGGCGCCATCAAACTAAAGGGTGTTTTTTTAGAGGTATAGAAATTTAAATTGCAATAAAACAACGATGTATTATTTGAATGACATGAATTTGTTTTATTCGAAATATAATCTTATGTCATTACATTTTAAATATGATTTCTGGCATATGACTGCCACGGCTGGCTCGGATGTAGTCCAACCTGGAAGTCCAATTTTCGATGACTTTTTTCAACATTTGTGGCCGTATATCGGCAATAACACGACGAATGTTGTCTTCCAAATGGTCAAGCGTTTGCGGCTTATCCGCATAGACCAATGACTTTACATAGCCTCGCAGAAAATAGTCTAGCGGTGTTAAATCACAAGATCTTGGAGGCCAATCCACAAGTCCAAAACGTGAAATTAGGCGGTCACCAAACGTGTCTTTCAATAAATCGATTGTGGCACGAGCTGTGTGACATGTTGCGCCCGTCTTGTTGGAACCACAGCTCCTGGACATCATGATTGTTCAATTCAGGAATGAAAAAGTTAGTAATCATGGCTCTATACCGATCACCATTGACTGTAACGTTGTGGCCTTCATCGTTTTTGAAGAAGGATTAAACCAGCCCATAAAGCGCACCAAACAGTCAGTTTTTTCTGGATGTAACGGTGTTTCGACATACACTTGGGGATTAGCTTCACTCCAAATGCGTCAGTTTTGTTTGTTGACGTAGCCATTCAACCAGAAGTGCGCTTCATCGCTAAACAAAATTCGCTTATGAAAATCGGGAACAACGGCAATCTCGTTTTGGGCCCATTCGACGAATCTACGCCTTGCTTGATGATCGTTTTGATGAATTGCCAAACCAAACTGAGAATAAATCACTTGACAGCTGTTAAATCGGTCGCCATCTTGGAAAGTAATGCCAACTTAAACTTCTATACCTGAAAGAAAAACACTCTTTAGTTTAACCCCACTTATCGTTCCTAAGTCCGAGGTTGCACTTGGGTATTTTATAAATTTTTATTTTATAATTTTTAAATTTTATTTGAAAACGTTGGAATTTAATCTTCTATATTCGCCATTGATATTTTGAAGTTGGGTTTAGTATTATAAGATTCATATAATTTCAATTTTTTAATTGATTATTAAGATGTGATTGAATAATATATATTTAAATATACATACATACATACATATATATAACTCATTCAGAAAATTTGTATATTTTTGTGTGAATGTCCTAGTATTTAAAAAATATTGTTATTATTTTTTAAAAAAAAATGTAACTTATTACAAATCTATGTGGCACAATAAACATCTCCATTATAGAGAAAAAACAAGCAGAACGTATTTTGTAATTGTAAAGCAGTAACCTTCAATAGCTGTCACATCAGTTGAGCAAGAAATTTGCTCTTCTTTAATTTCAGTCACTTAAATATACTCATGCCTCACACATTGAGTGCTACCACACACATTTACATTTTTCAGCAAATATGTGTTATTCATATAATTTTCTACGATTTTTATTTTCTTTTAGAAATATGTTTTAGCACAAGCAGGTGAACTTCATTTTTGAACATCTTTTTTAACTTTTAATCTTTATGAATTATTTTACTTAAATTCCTAAGTACCGAAAAACATTCCTTATTTCGTTAAAAGGAATGATTAGGTCGGCAGGATTATAGACTTTCTTTTCTCGATAGTTGAATGCGTTCGAACAGTATTAGAATAACCGTTCGGGGTCATGTTTTAATTTTTCCTTTCACAGCTAGACTTTTTCTTCCTTTGAAATTTAATGTATTATAAATATTTTTCTTTGAAATCTAATAACTGAGATTTTTACGCTGCTTTGTAA